CTACGCTCAAGTAACAGACCTGGCAGTGAACACGGCAGCGTCCGGCAACAACGCGTCTTTCCGGGCCCGTGAGCAGCAGGGAGTTGCCCGCCAGGCAGTCACTTCCGTTGTTTGGGGCGCTCCGCCTCCAGCTGCTGCCCAGCAGCGGCTTCGTCTCTTCTGCGCGGTAGACCCGGACGGCAGCGCCTCCAGCGCCCGCAGCCGCTCCGTGAGCGCTTCGGTAGCCGCTGCGTCAGCAAACAGTCCGTCTTCACCTGTGCCAGGTAGTGCGGTGGCGCGTCCAGAATGCGCCGGGCCTTGGCCACCACGCACTCAAGGGCGAAGGCCTAAGAGAAGTCCGCGCCCGCGCCGTCCAGCTTGCTGCTGCTGCTGCGCACGCTGTAGACCTCGTCCATCCGCTCCAGCGCGCGCCGCAGCGTTGTTGCGCCGACCTTCGAGTACCGCCGGGCCCCACGCACGGCAACAAATTTCCACAAAGCCAGGTTCGGCAGCACGCCGTCCACGGGCTCAACGCCGTTGGCCGGGCGCAAGATCGGCGGGGAAAGGGGGTGCGCCTGCAGCGCGCCACGTCGCCGGCCCCACTTGGCTCGGCTGGCCATGACAAGGCGCCCAGCCCACCTCACGGTCAGGCAGCAGGTGGAGGCCTTGCTGGGCGACCGGCCTCGAAGTTGGAGGTTGTGCTGAGGCTCGGTGCGCGCTGGCCAGCACCACGCTGCAGCCGCTGCTGGGGCGAACCGTCCAGTTTGACAGGGAGACGTCCGTGGGGCCCAGGATCTGCTCTCCTATGGCCACCACCTTGTCGGCCCCTCCATCGTCCGGAAAGCGCACGGCTATTTGTAGGGCCGAGGCTGCCTCCGTGACACCAAGCTTGCCGGCTAGGAGGCCGTCCACCTGTGCGATGGTGTAGTAGCTGAGCAGCGCGGCTGCGATGCTCGAGGCCGTGGTCGGCGGCCGAGCGGTACGCCGCCAGCGCCGAGATGATTTGGTTGGTCGTGAAAACGTCCTGGTCCGGGCCCGTCCTGTAGGCCAGCAGCGCGCCCGTGATGGCCGCCTGCGTGTGCGCGCAGTAGTCGGCCCTGCGCCGTGCCCGTTCGGTAGTCGTCCAACAGTGCGTCCACTTGTGAGGAGGTGTAGTAGGCTAGCAGCGTCCGCCGCTGCGATCAGCAGAGAGAGGAGCCTCCAGATGCAGGTTGCGAACGACGTTGCTTCCGCGAACGAGCTCCCAAGTAGTGAAGCCCGCCCAGGCCGGCGCATTAACAACTCCGCCGCTGCCGGAAAGCTGCAGGGCGGCGAGCTCCGCGAGGATTGCGTCGAGGGCGCTCTGTAGCGTAGTCTTGCTGGCTGAGAGCGCGGCGTTCGTGGCGTACGAGGCCAGCAGCGTCGCGTTGGCCTTGGCTTCCTGGAGCGCCGTGATGCTGGCGTCCCGGCTAGCAAGCTGCGCTGCGACGAAGGCCTCGGTGGCGAGACCCAGCAGGGCATTTGCTATCTTGGTGTCTACCTCCAGCGGCGTGTCCAACCCGTCCACCGTGGAGAGCAGGGCGGCCAGCACGCTTGCGTCTGCCTTGCCGGCAAGGGCGGCGTCCAGGGCTGCCATGGTGACTGTGCCCAAGAGGGCTGCCGCTATCTTACAGTCCACCTCGGAGGTCGACGGCCGACAGCAGGGCGTACGCTGTCAGGGCGCTGGCGTCCGCCTTGGAGGCCTGCAGCCCCAAGATGGAGGCGTCTCGGCTCGCGAGCTTGGAGGCCAGCGCTGCGGCGGTGACGACTCCCAGGAGAGCGTTGGCCGCCTTGGTGTCGACCTCCAGCGGCGTGATCCTCGGCCGTAGTTGGCTGCCACCGTGGCCAGCGTGGCGTTGTTGGCCGAGGCGATGGAGCCGTTCATGGCCGCCGTGGTGCTGTAGTTGGACAGCTTGAGATCCACGCCGTCCGGGCTGCTCTTCGTGGCCAGCTCAGCGGTGACTTCGGTTGTCCAGGAACTGGATGGCTGCTGCGTTGTTGCCGGAGGCTGCCGTGTTCACCGCCTAATCTATTACTTGGGCGTAGGGCGTCAGAGCCAGGGCCAGCTGCCCTGCTGTGACGTGCGTGCCGTCAGTTACCTCTCCGTTGTCCAGGACCTCCGGGATGTTGCCCGTGACAGGTCCTTCAAACATGTTTTCTTAGGAGTAGTCGTTACGTGGCATGGGTATGCGATGCTCTGAGGGAAAATATCCCTCAATTCAACTTCCCGTGCTACCAGCACATGAAGTGAGGGAACATATCCTTCACTTATGATACCGCTCGCTGTACCGTGGTTATGACGAATTGGTCGATGGCGTCGGTCAAAACACTTGGGACACCTCGGCCTGTAGTACATGATGAATTGACCGATATAGCACATGATGAATTGACCGATGTAGCTATGCATTGTGTGCATAGTTTTTTAGGACAAAGACCGAAAGCTTGTGTCGCGGGGCGACACGGCCGTGGTACACCTTGGGGGCTCAAGCGCTACCTTGTCTCAGCTGTCTCTGCACCACCTGCGGCCGGGCATTAATGAACCAAGCTTGCCCATTAATGAATCAGCCCGTTCCATTATTGACTCAAACTTGCCAAGAACGAAGTCCTCTCAAACTCGGGAACTTGGCCGCTTTTGCGCACTTTTCGGCCCAAAAGAGAGCGGTGACGAAGCGGTGACAAGCGGTGACAAGCTCGGCGGGATGGAATTCGCCTGTTTTCCGGGCTGAAAGCGGAACCCTGAGCAAAGTGAGCGTCTGGAGCCTGCTTTCGACCGAGTCTGACACGAAAAACGAACTTTTCGGAGTTGGGCGTTTTGAGCGCTTTTTGCACCAAAAACGGAGCGGTGACAAAGGCGGTGACAAGTTCGGCGGGCTGTCGTGTCACAAACCGAAACCTCGGCGGGCTGCCGCGTTACGAGCAAGGTCCTCGGCTGGCTGTCGTGCCGCGGAAAACCCTGCGAAGAACGAAGTCCTCCAGAACTGGGCTGCTTTTGCGCGCTTTTTCGGTCCAAAAGTGAGCGGTGACGAAGCGCTGACAAGCGGTGACAAGCTCGGCGGGATGGAATTTGCCTGCTTTTCCGGGCAAAAAACGGAATCCAAAGCACAGGGAGCGTCTGGAGCCTGTTTTCGACCGAAAACGAGCGAATCTGGAGGCTCAGGCACCACACTTGACGTCTGACACGAAAAAACGAACTTTTCGGAGTTGGCCGTTTTGAGCGCTTTTTGCACCAAAAAACGGAGCGGTGACAAAGACCGGTGACATCGGAAAAACGTTCCGCTGGATGGAGAATTTGGCTGTTTTGCAGGGTTTGGGGACCAAAAAACCCAATTAATTTGGTTTCAACTGGCATTGAAAATCATTGGTGACGGCACAATGTTGCCTTGTCTCCTTTGAAACTTTTGCCCTTGTTGTAACACAAAGTTGCTCGGCCTGCGACTTTGTTGTTCCCCTTGTGCACGTGAATTGGACGCTTGGTCAAGCTCACTTTCTGCTCATCGTTTCAAATTTGTGCAAACTTTTCCTGTTTTGTTTGGTTCGGTAAACTTTTCTTTTTGGGTTTGTTTCTGCTGTGGCCCGCCCTTTTTGTAGAAAGGTTGCCACTCAGGCTTAAGGAGCCTTCCAGATGGCGTGACGTCTTGCTGATGGAGAAGTTGACCCGTTTTGTCTGCAGCATTTGTTGTGTTGACTTGCTTGGTCTTGTAATCGTGGTTTGGATTTTCAATCGGATTCGTGGAACCAGGCTTTTCGGTTGCGGACCCTGAAGAACTTGATGTTGGACGTGATTGTTTTTGGTCACTTTGGCGCTTGGAGCACCCTGACGGGAGAGACACCTTTTTGGCGCGCCGGTGGCGAGTAGCTATCAGTTTTGGAGCGCGATTGTGTTTCTTTGCAGAAAGTTTTGGCCGAGAGCAAAGCGAAATTGACTTCATTCAGACGGTGACCGTCTTCACCGTTCCAACATTTGTGCACAAACAACCAGGTTGACCACTCTTCACCCTTCCAACATTTGTGCACAAACAACACCAGGTGGCCGAGAGGTACGACCCCTCACCGGTGATATCGATCGACCTCACCATAATCTTGAAATCAAAGCTCCTCCACATCTTTTAAAATTTGGTGCGGTGCGCCTCTGAGTGCTCCACATGTACATCCTTGCAGATGCAAAATGTTGCTGGTCAATTTTCAACCACTGGACTTATTTGTTGCGGGCCTTTCTGGCTTGTAATTTTTGCTTGGTAAAACAAGTTGGTTTTCTTTGTCACCGCACTGCGCAGTCACTCTTTGCGTGCTTGGGCGCGCAGTGAACCTTTCTCTCGCCTGGCGTCTGATTTTCTGTTTGGCAAGATCACAGCCAGTGGAGCGGACCTGCTTGCTGCGCGCCCGTGAATCGAGCAAAGTCTTGACAGTGTTTCACGCCGGTCGTGCGGAGTACATCGCCTTCCGTACTTGAGTTTCTTCTCTGACCGTGTGGGAAGCTATTTAAACATGTTGACGGGCGCAACGTCTGCGCTGGATTGCACTGGTGCCATCAAGATGCTTGGCGGCGCGGTTCGCAAGTTACACGTAAACCCACGGCATTGCGAATTGGGGTCAATGGCGCGATGCTAAAAACCGGTGGCAAGGTCGCCCATGGACTAGACTGGCGTGAGGCGTACAAGCGAGCTCACTTTCCGGCAAAGCGTGCGAGTGCCTGCCTTTTTTCTTTTCACGTCCATGTTGTTGATGGGCTCTTCCGTGGCCTTCTTTTGGAAACTGGTTTGGTTCTACGGGCTCTTGCAGCGAGGGTGGCTTGGGTGTTGAGGCAAGTTGAGGCCGTGAGTTTCAGCGTGAGCTGTCACCAAGCTTGGCACGCTGACAGTTATTTTAGCAATTTTGGGTGTAACCACATCATGTTTTGTCGCATGCATGATTGTTTCTGTTGTCATGTTTCATGACATGCTGCCAATTTAAGATTGGGCTTGGTTAAATATGCCTGGTCGTGTGGTTTATGCTGCGCTGATTTGAGGTTCAACCGGCACCAAAGGCGCAGCTGGTTCTTTCCTGGTCGAGACACGCCATGATGACGGCGGTAGACTTCCAGAGCGTTGCGCCTGCAAAATCGGAAGGCAGCACCCACATTGAGTCCAGCGAACCCACCGAGTCCATCAGGTCCGACAACAAGTCCCCAAAGCCCAAGCAAGGCCAGGTGTTGGGCAAGGGCTGGACGTACCTGGAGTTCTCCAAGGCCTTCTTGAAGCTGACATGGCCGCTCTTGCTGGGAAACACTTTGGAGTGGTACGAGTTTGGGATCTACAGCTACGTGGAGAAGGAGATCGCCGCAAACTTTTTCGGGGGCTCTTCGATGGGCGCCTGGTTGGGCTATGCTGTCACTTTTGTCGCCCGTCCCTTGGGAGGCGCGTGTGAAGATTCCGTGAGCCCAGATCCAGCAATCTGGAGGAACAACACCTGCAACCAGCCGGGGAAAACAACAGTGGCTCCCAACTGAAACTTAGAACAGTTGGTGGAGGAAAGTCCGAAAAACCAGTGTGGTAACAAACTTCAGCTCGTGTACGGCCATGTTCAGGCATCGTCCTGGGCTTTATCGCTGATCACTGCGGGCGGAAGCTTGCCGTGAACCTCTCGCTTGCGGGCATGATCCTGGCAACGGTGGGGCAAGGTGGGCCTGATTTCAGTAGTTGCTGGTGAAGCATGTGGTCAACAAAAAAACTCGGGAAGAGAAAGGATTGCAACCGATCACCACAGAAGTAGAAGAATCTTTTGCGTGTTCCTCCCATTCGCGCTTGTCCGCCCGCGGTTTTCTCGACCATCCCATTTCTTGTGGATTCAGAGAGCTGACATACTCCCAAGCGCGTGCACAACCGTGACTTTCCGTGAGTCTTCCGTGCTGAGCCCGGAGTGAAAAACACAACAAACACCTCAACCCCCGGCCCTTCCGTTGTGTCCGGCGCAAGGTCTGCTGCCGGGGGCCCACTTGGGGAAAGACTGCCAGGCCTGGTTGGGCAAAATGCGCTCGTTTGGGCACAGAATACAGACCTTTTGCAAGAGCAGGCTCAACTTGTGAACAAATTCCAAACCTGAACCTTTGGTTGCAACAGCAGGAGAGCAAAGTTGCGAGTTTCAGCCCACATTTTGGGACCTGGCACGAGAAAGCCATTTGGCCATGGGTCATAGCCTGTGGCTGCATTTTTGGGCGGATGAACACCCATCTACCTAATTTGATGTTTCACAGGGGTTTCCTGGGTTTTGACCCACAGCCATTTGAGACAACTGCGACAGGTCCTGGGTCTGGTGCTGCTGATCTGCCTGCGCGCGGTGCAGGGCATCTCTGCCGGGGGAGAGATCGCAGCCATCGCGGCCTTTATGCCGCGGAACCGAATTGGGGTGGGTCGGGTCGTGAAAGGGAATGAATTTGCCTGGAAAATAGGTGAGTTCAACATCAGCATTTGCTTTGCTTGCAGGTTTTCTTTTCAATGTAGTTGCCTTTCGGGGGAGGTTCAGGTTTGTTTTTCCTTCGCAGATCTTGGGCTCACAGAGCTGGTTTGGCGGAAGCGGTTGAGGATGTTTGGCAGAGATAGTTTGGGCAATCAGCACCGGTCCTCAAGACAAGGCTTTTGAAGATTCCCAGCCCACGGGGCATTTGGACTGGGTTGCAGCAAAGTGTTCACACGGCTACTTGTTAGAAGTCATGCATTCATGTGCTTGGTGCACTCAGAGCAGTTGGGCCCGCTTTTTGGGGGCGCATTTGTCTGGGGCTTTGCTTGCCCCGCCCTTTTTTCACGCCGAGGATGGAGGTGTCCCCAGTGCAGACGCTGGGCATGGCGGTGTGCATGATCTCCGTCGGGAGCCAAGTCGCCTGGGCCTTTGCTAGCGCTTTGATGGCCCTGCTGAACTCGTGGCTGGGCCCGGAGCTGATGCTGACCTGGGGCTGGCGTGTGCCCTTTATTCTCTCTGCCGTGCCAGGCGGGAGCTGTGGTTTGTGGTTTGGGGTGAGGGAGAGGGTGGCTCTGAAGGGGCATTGTGGGGATGGAGTCATCCTTTTCAATTCCGCGACTTGCTTGGGAGCAGACAAGCTGAGTGGTTGGGGTGGGAGTCCGTCAAAGGTTGAACATCCGTGGGTCAAAGCTGGCGTCGCTGTCTTCAGATAGGTTTGGAGAGGGTGCTAGTTTCATTTCTTTGTTTGACGGATGCCGCTTGTGAGCCTCGTCGCGCCGGTCAGGCGTGATTGCCCTGATGGGCCGGAATCAGATGCAGGAGAGCGAGATCTTCCTCGCCGAGGCCGGATCTTTGGCCCGTCAGAAGCACCGTCGGAGGTGCATTTTGGGGTGTGCTGGTTTGAACAATGTACTTCAAGATGGGTGAAGTGAGCAGCGCTCAGGCGGAATCCGACACCAGCGGTCTTTGCAGCGTGGGGGAGTTGCTGCGCCATTACCCGGGGAATCTGCTGGTCGGCTTCGGGGCAGTGGCTGTAGCCGCCACAATGTGGCGCCTTGCCTGGATGCCTTGCCTGACTCCCTTTCAGTTTCCTTTGAAACGGGTAATTACCCTCCAAAGGCACAACAGATGTGATTACCCTCCCAAAACCAGCCTGGCACCCGAACCTTGCGGAAAAAACGGGCTGTTTGCAAAGCGGAAATCGACGGGTTGCTCACTTTCGCTGCGCTTAGCAAGAAATTCCTTCAGGTTTGCGCCGCCCTTCTGGACTCTGGGCGCTTTGATGTCGGACCTGGGCGCAGCTGACGCTCTGTGGGTGGGCAACTGTTGCCAGTTGGTGGGCCTGGCAGTAACGCCCCTGGCAGGGTTCCTGGCGGACCGGGCTTTCGCATTGGTTCACAGAAATCCGTTTGATTCAATTGAAATCCGTGTCCAGTCCTTATGTTTTGTTGCAATTTCCCCACTTCCGAAGGACTACTTCGGGGTGGCCTGGGTGCAGCTGGTGGGGGCGCTTTATTGCGCGCTGGTGTCCTTCCCCGCGTACATCTGGCTCAGCTTTGACAACTCCCGCCTGGCCGCCTACCTGGGGCTGGGTGTCATCTTCGGTGTGGCGCAGGCGGTGAGTTGGCCGTCTCAAGCTTTGGCCATTGCCAAATCAGTATGTGCACATGCTTCCAAAGAGGTTCAAGAGTTTTATGTAATGTTGATGCAATCTATGAGTAAATACATTATAGTTAGAGATAGCGTTTGCCTCACAGCCAGTTTGGTCCATATACAACACTTATGGAGATGCCAAACGAATAAGAGGCTTTTACCGACCATTAGCTTGCGAACCGATAGCTGCCGCACATGTCATGTTCACTCTGTTTGTTCTTCCACGGCTGTGGGCAATTTACTTATGACAAATGACCGATTTACTTGCATCAAGTGTGGCCTTCTTTGAACATTGAATATTGCGCTTTATCAACTCCAGATAATGGGTGGTCTTTACAATTTGACATTCTACTGGTGTCTTCTGGATGGTAGCTCTTCTCCACTTGAAGCTCAGTCATTCTGCTTGGGTGGTAGCTTTTTGAGGCATGCAGGCACTGTGGCTTTACAGGGCGGCCAGTAGCGGAGCTCCCTCGCTAACTTGGTTGTTTCTAGATTCCAGCATTGAGCACGGCCCGCTGGGTATTTGGGATCTGTTTATGCATGTGTGCGGGGAGAAACGGCTTTGCCACAGCGGTGTCAACCGGCGACAGGGCTTCAACGGGGCATCGGTGTACCTCTTCTGCGCCGAGCTGTTCCCGCCGAAGCTGCGCTGCCAGGCGGGTTGCGCCTTGAAGCAGTCGCCGCTGGAATCCGGCCTTGGGTTCGGAAAGAGCCCAAGTGGTTGTAACAAACACAGGCAGTCGGCATTTTCAGCGGTCGTTGAATCTGCCTGCCTGGGGCCTGGGGTTCGGAGGAAAGTTGTCGCTTCGTTGAGCAACATCTGGTCCATTGGACAGGGCATGGCGCTGAGCTACAACCTGGGCGTCTCCTTCCTGGGGGGCTTCAGCGCGAGCATCTCCCAGGCCCTGCTGGAGGCCGGGTATGGGTATGGGTCAAAATTAGACCAGAAGGATATGGACCGCAGGATTTAGTCCTTGGTTCCATTTAGCAGGGTTCCATTTTGGGTACCCATTTTTGACCTACAGCCGTATAACTCCAGTCCTTTGCCGGGAGCGGCTTTGCGGATGGTTTTTAGTCATGCGGCATCAACCGAGGAATCCTAGTGTCTGATGACAGGTGGTGGGATGTGGTCTCACTGTCAGAAACACGTTTGTTTGAGGGTGAACACTAATTTAAATAAGACAGTTTTTTACACTAGTTTTAAGACTCCCTCAACATGAGACACGCCTAAGTAGCGTTGTTTTTGGGCAGAACAACTAAAATTGAGGCAGTATTTGGTCGGACATTGGAGTATGTGAAGCGTGTGAGCCAGCCAAGCCCCGTTGACTCATGTTGGAGGTTCTTTTTGCAGGGTTCACGGGGTCGCAATCTTTGGGCATTCCCATGTTAGACTTTTCTCCTCTGTCTTCCCCGATGCTGAAACATTGCATTCCCAATGGTTTGACTTCCAAGAAGCGTCCCTGCTTTCCCAAGCCGCACACAGCCTTTTGTGCTGTTTCTTTGAGATACGTCCAGTGGCGAACAGCTGTTGTACATATATATATATATATACGTATATATACATATATATATATATATACACACACACATAAAATATGCATTCATTGTGTATAATATGTGTATATATATACATATTGTGTATGGAACCGCTACAGATTGTCGGTTTCCGTTTGGTTTCCTTTCAAACACAAGCACAATTGTGTTTTTCAAGAACATCCTAGATTCTCAGCTCTATGTGCCGTTTGCTTTCTGCGGGTCCGTTGGAGGTCTCCTACCACTTTGGGCCGGGGATCTACTGGTCGGCCACGGGAGTGGCGACGTCGTGCACCATCCTCGTGGCGCTGCTGCTGCAGCGCAAGGGCTGGATGACGCTCACCCACCGCCGCAGCGCGCCTTACTTCGGCCGCCTGAAGGGTGTGAGGCCGTCGGCCTAAGGGGAAGGCACGAGACTTTCCCTTTTTCACTCTCCCCCTGTGTTGAGACGATGACCAAGAACCCAAAGCCAAGAGGCAAACTGAGGAGAGGTTTGCTCGCTCGGTTTCTCCAAGCTGGGGACCAAGCGCACTAGTCTTTTGGCTGCCACGAGCAATCCGTGCCTTCCTCGCGCCTCGTGTGTCTCCAGCCTTGGGCCCGAAGGGAAACCTCGTTTGGGGGGATCCAAGGGCTGGCATTCGCTGGAATCGCGATGCCTAGCACACACAGAAGTTGTGAACTTAAGGATCGACGGTGCGCAATACCTTTGTACAGATTCGTGATGCACGTCGATCTGACGCGCACTATATGCATTACAGAGAATGCATACACTGACGCTTGTGAATGACGGCAAGAGCTGCTTGTTGAGATTTTGTGGCCTTGCACAATTAGTGGCGTCTAGGCGCAGTGCCTGTGGGTATCGCGCGATGCAAAAAGGAGTTACCATGCTAAGCAGCATGGGCTGAAAGTTGTGAGCGTAGATGTGGCTACCTGTGAAGACCTCCCCAAACCTCAGGGTAAGCTTCGCTCAAGTGATCTAGTCGCCTCCGGCCGAACATTGTTGCGCATGACGGCTGGTCACCTGGAGAGCAGAGCCTCAGAGGACATGCCTGGGTTCATGTTGCGATGCTTGAATATTAGCCTGTTGTTTTTGAAGGCTCTTTGATAGCATGCCCGTGTTTCATTTTCAAAGTCGACCAGGCAGGCGCATCAAACCAAACTGTTCGAACACGTCGACCTAACGCAGCAGCCGAAGTGCATGTCAGGGAGTAACAATCGCCGACATTCCAGCGCTCGCCAACACGCTATCACCCCGGCACGCCCAGTTGTGCCGGGTTGCGCTGTCCGTGCGCTGCAGAGAGGTTCAAAGACCTGGGTGCTGCTTCCCTGTTTCTTTTCAGTTGCGCATCAGGCAAAACAAATATGTTGCGTTCCGCGGCCAGGCCGCTCTGGCGGCACTTCCTCTCACTTACTGTCTGCGTGAACGTGGTGTCCAAAGGTCGACGGCGGGCTGGCTTTCGCTGTTTGCACACGGAGCCTCCTTTCTTGATCCCGGTGTGGTTGTGCAAACGAAGGGCGTGCGTCCACGTCATGCGGGAGAGGCCAACGAAGAAGCCAGGTTGCAATGCCTCAGAGCCATTTTTTGGCGCGGCACGTCATTGCGTCGTGCCACCGTCGGTAGGCGCCAGGAGGCGGTGTCCTTGATGCCTGGGCGAGAAGATCGTCGCCAGAACGGCCGCAGCACGTGCGAGCAACCCTCTGGCGGATGCGCGGTTTCCGACGAGGCCCCAGCTGGGAGCGGGCCCTGTTGCAAGGCTGTAGGGCCAAAGAAACCCGTCACGAGCTTGCCTCAGCGCCTCCCACCCACTCCGCCGCGGAGCATTGCTCGCTGTGAGGCTGCAGCAGGCCGCCTCTGCACTGCCACGTGGTCCACCTCCGTTGGGTCACGAGCGTGCTGGCTCGCCGGTGGCGGGCTGTCGCTTGCGTCAACGACTCCAGACTCCAGACTCCACATTCCAGTCTCCAGACTCCAAGCTTCCAGATTCCAGTCTCCAGACTCCAAGCTTCCAGATTCCAGTCTGCAGACTGCACACTGCACACTGCTCCAGACTCCGGACTCCAGACTCCAGACGCTAGACTCGCAAGCGCCGAACTGGAGTCTGGAGTTTGGAGTGCTGGAGCTTGGAGTCTCGAGTCTGGAGTTTGGAGTCTGCACCACTGGTGCTTATCGCAAACCTGGCGATTCGGAAGCAGTCTCCCTCGTCTCGAAACGCGGGGCGTTGCGTTGCGCCCCTTTTCTGATGGCGACCATGCCGTCGCCCGCGCGCCGTTGCTTGAGCAGTCCTGGGCGCGCATCGCGCAAGAAGGTTCGGGGCCAGCTCCCGCGCGTGCTTTTCCAGGCAAGAACCGCCAGCCCCAGGCCGGTGAAGTTCCGTGTGGTCGCGCCGCCTGTCCGCGCGGCAGTTGGGGAGCCGCGTCTGGTTGCTCCGCACGCCGGACACAGGTGCCGGCCTGCTGGGAACACCTCTGCCGCTTCATGCTCGGCGGTGGCGCGCGCTGGCGGAAGGATAGTCGGAACTCGCGGAAGCAAGCCTCCGGCCTGCTGCGGCGGCGGCGGGTCGGGCGACCCTGCGTTGCTCGCCGCCGCCAACTACGTCCGGATGGGTGTGTGCCGGCCTAGCCGGGTGTCATCACGTCTCCGGAGTTTGCCCAGGTTGTGTTTGACTTGCTGCCTCCACATCAACATGAGCGTCTGCGCCAACACGCACGTATAACGCCCCACCGTGGCAAAACGCGACATTCGAACGCGTTCGGATTGTTGAAAACTTCTCGTTTGATGCAGCTGATCTGTTGGAGTTTCCGAAAAAAACCGGCCTCAAGCCGCCGTCCGTTTTTTTTTTTTTGTTTTTTTTTTTTTTTCTCCGGGTGTTATTTTACCACCCAAAATCACAAGCTAAGTTTTTTTTGTACCTTCACTTCCCGACTTTTCATTCTTGATCTTTTGCTGGCGGGGATGGGCGCGACGGGAGCTTACAAACACACCCCTCTGCGGAAATCGTGCGCGCCGAGGCGCTTTCACGAGGTCGGCAAATCCCTGCGTGTGGAAGCGCTCTCACTGTGGCGCCGTGCGTGTTTGCCTGAGCGCTCTCTAACATCCGTTGTGAAACGGCGTGGCAAATTTTTCACGTGGTTTGAGCGCCTGCTTTCGCAAGCGCGCGGTCGCAGGCTCAATTCTTTTTTGGCCCGAGGAAGAGCTTGAAAATCGTATCTCCTCAGATTTTGTGAGGTCAAAAAACATACGGAAGCTCCAAGTTCTGTTGACACAATGCTATGTCGTGAGAGGCTTCTGATTTCAGCTTTCCGTTGTTTGTCAGCCACCCTCTACTTGGGTCTACAAAGTTTTTTTTTCCTCGCACGCCCCCTTACTGCTGCGCCAGTCGGTCCCCCTCAAAAACCCTGCTTGAAAGGGGGCCCCCAGGCACCAGCGGTAATCACGTCAGGGCCTCCCCACGCGGGAGGCTAGGCTAAGCGTGCGCGGAAAGCCGGCTGGCGAGCACCTCAAAAGCAGGGCCGGTGCGGTCGGCAAGCACGTCACTGAAAGCGGGCACAGGGCCGTCCAGGCAAGACAAGTCAGCGGAAGGCAAGGCAGACAAACTGGCAGCAAAGGCCTGCATGGCGGCAGAAGTCAAGAAGCCAGACCAGCGATGGACCAGGGCGGCCTGGTGGGCTAGACGCAAGGTCGCAGAGGTGTCTCTGGCTTTGGCCCGGGCCCGCAAGAAGTCGGCAGTCTCGCCTCGACCCCAAACACGACCAGGCGGCACCGGGAGGACCGGAGGAGCTCGGGGCAGGTCCGCTCCTTCTGACGCCGTCAAGCAAAGCAACGGGCCGCGCCAAGTCACGGCGGGAGCGCGGACGGCATCACGCGTGAGGGGCGACACGATGGTCGTGTCGACTGCAAGCTGGGCTCCGCTCGACAGGGGTAAGCCGTTAGCAATGACTTCGATGCGCCTGTCGTCCAGGCGGTCGACAGGGGCATTCAAATCACGTACAAGGGTGTTGGTTGTGACGCGTGCGCCGGCCTCGCGGCAAATGCGCGCAGCAGCGCGCTCGAGAGGGCAGCCGCGACTGCGCAAGGCACCTGGCCGGGGGCAAGCTGCACGATGGTCGCCAAGAGGGTCGAGAAGGCGATCGCGCCGGCAGCTGCGGGCGGTAAAGGGCAAAGGCAGGCGCAAGCGCCGCAGCAAAAGCACGCGGAACAGCGCAGGAGAGTAGGCAAGCTCCGGGCAGCTCGGCACGCTGGTGAAGACACGGCTGCTGTAGGGGCCAGTTTGCGACAACAAAAGTGCCTGAGAAGCCGGGTCCGTTTGGGCGAGGACCTCATCTTGAAGCTGCCGGGAGACGGCCTCGGCGGCGGGGGACTGCCACCCGCGGAGGGTGGGGCCAGCGTGGTCCAAAGCGTGAGCAGAAGGTGGTGCCGGGTGCGCCCCACATGATCTTCCAAACTGAAGGCGGGGAACAAGGGGACCCCTTGATGCCAGCCCGTTTCGCACTTGCGCAGCACGGCGCGCTCGTTGCCACGCAGCGCCAGCTGCAGCCAGGGGTTCGCTTTTATGGATGATGTCTATGCCGACACCTCGCCAGACCGTGTGCGCCCTGTTTGCGACACCTTGTCTGCTCAGCTTCAGACGCGCTGCCAGGTCCGGCTGCACGCTGGAAAGGCACGCGTTTGGAACGCCTCTGGCCGTGAACCTCCAAACATCTGGGTGCTAGGCAGTGGTAGCGACCCGGTGTGGCTTGGCGACAGGTCACTCCCAGCAACCCAGCGTGGCATCACTATCTTAGGGGCCCCGCTGGGCGACCCAGAGTTTGTTGCGGCTCAGTTGCATCAGCTCCGTGCCAAACAGGACAACCTGTTTCAAACCATCCGCACCATCCCCGACCTCCAGAGTGCCTGGTTGCTACTCTTGTTTTGCGCTGCCCCTCGCTGCGGCCACGTCCTTCGCATGCTGCCCCCTTGCTTGACGGCTGCTTTCGGGGCCTCGCACGATGAGGCTGTGTTGTATTGCGTGTCCGATCTTCTTGGTGCGGCCCCTTTGCCTGGCACTGCGGCCCGCCTTGCGCAGCTGCCTTTCCACGAAGGTGGCCTCGGCTTGCGCAGTGCAGGGGTTCCTGGGCTGTTGCCGGTCCTACACACGACTTGGCGGCCTCCGTCCTTCGCTTGCTGCAGGGCCCCGGCCCGGTGCCTCCGCGAAGCTGTCATGCCCTGCTGCGCAGGCCCAACTTGCCGAGGCGGGCCTAATTCCATTGACTGATAAAACGGTGGCATCCGGATCCAACTCGGTAGAAAAAAAAAGGGCGTGGGCGACCGCTTCAGCGCCAGCACGCGTGGACAGACCAACCTGGAACGGCGCGCAAGCTTCCTGGAGGGTAGCAGCAAAGTATTGCGCGAAGGACCAGGCGACGCGCCGCAGAAAGTCACTGACAACTATGCGACGAACTCGGCCGTTGGGCTTCTGAAGGGCAACCATGCGGCCGAGGCCGAAAGACGGCTGGGGGTACTTGGGCTTGTGGGGCCTTGACTTGGTGCATCCGAGTCACAACTGGTCACAGTGACTTTGGCTTCATGAGCTCATCCGCACTGGCAAAATTGCGTCTGCCCACGCGGTGAAACTGGGACCGGCGCCGAAGGAGGCGAGACAAAGAAGGCAGCAAAGGCGAGAAGAACGCCATACGACTACCCTCGCAGGGGCAGGCGGCTTGGAAGAGGTGCCGCAGGGGCGCGGGGCGACCGGACGCGCACCAAGCGGCGAACAAGGTCGAACGCCTCGGAACCAAAGCGCCCGCCGACTTCACAGGCGAGGACGACGAGCCGCTGTGGGCCAGGGCCAGCAAGCTCAGGGTAGCGCGTTTCCTTGCGCCGGCGCGCGCCT